ACATCGAGGGGGATAGGTTGAAGGTTATAAAATCATAAACCATATATAAAGACACCTAACCTGGGGTCCAGAGATCCTATAACCAGGTTTAATAGGAATAACGAATCATATGGTGATTGTAAGAAATGCACTCTTTAATATATTTTTGTCCATTCCTATGATGTAAGTACACTTGTCTTGTAATATTGGAGGGTTGAGTCTTTGTACTCTTAATGTAATTCTGTAACTCTTGTTAAGTAAGGTGTGTAAATTACAGGAACATCCTTGACAAATTTCACGTACGTAAGCATGGCAGTGGGGCCACTCCTTATGAGAACTAGGCTTATTCTCAAATATACTCATGAAAATTAGGATTAGCACAAGGTCGTAATGTACTAATTGTTTAAAGCTCATGTCAACACTTGGATTATTATTTGTGAGAAATGAACTTTTTTTCCCCTAAGCAGTCATTGTTCAAGTCTGAAACTACTACTGACTTTAGAGTACAGGTTGTTGTTTCGCTAATGAAAGGTTTAATATAGAGCACACATTTATGATACATACTAGTCTATCTTTGTTTAGTAATCTTTCTTGTCCTTGTTAATATTAAAATGAGTGGAGGATTGTTGGACCATTTTAATATTTTTGGTTAATTATTTATTTATTTATTTTGTGACATTTTGTTTTATCCATGTATGAGGGTTATTGGGAAGTCATGGACACTGGTAGTAAGTTAATATTTGGAGATTATGAGACTCTTCATTTTCTCTATCTTTATTTTTTAGTATAATTTGTAAGTTCCATGAAACCTATAAATTGTTCCTCTCTCATCTACTCATTTTTGCACCAACATTTTCTACACTTTAGAGATTACTAGCCAAAGAATGATATTTTTCTTGGTGGAGTTTTGGGCTCACCATCTTATTTAGAGTTGGCCTAAACTATACGACAAGTGGTCGGGCTGTTGTATCTTAGAGAGGACAAGTCAGAGTTTAGTGACTATTGCATCGGTGTTTGAGTTCTTCCTACCATAATGGGCTTAATTTCCTTAAAGAAAAGAAGATACCTGTGCCTCAGCTTGATCTAATTGTATCTCATTTTCTTTGTATTATTTATCGATAAAATATAATTTTTCTAGTATTTTCACCAACAATAAGTAAGGCTACGAAAATCACTTCATTTTTTAGAAAAATCACATCTTTTGTATATCCATTTTTACTCATTATCAATCAATGTTAAAATTTTCTTTTCTCCAAATTTACGAATTGAGAATCACCAAATTTGGTTCTAAAAAATTGAGTCAACTTTTTAGAAAAATTGAGTTTTTTTTTTATTTTTTCGTATTTTTTTTAATTTTTGTGAATTACTTTAATATTTTACGCAAATTTTTTATTTTTTAAGATAAACTTTAAAAATATAATATTATGATTTTTTTTTTAAATCACCAAATACAAAACATATAAAAAAAATAAATAAAGATAGGAAAATTCAATATGTTGGGGCAATCCCATATCGCCTAGGAGAGACGGACCAATTTCACCTTATAAGCGTACTGGCCCCCTCCACCTGTAGAGATGCATTTTCTCCCGAGAATGAACAAAACTGTGAGGGAAAGCAGATGGTTATCCCTGGCCAGAGCGGACAATATCCTGCAGGGCGCAAGTGGACAGGGATGACCATTTGCTTTTCCTCACAGTTTTGTTCCTCCTCGAGGGGAAACGCATCTCTACAGGTGGAGGGGGTCAGTACGCTTATAAGGTGAAGTCGGTCCGTCCCTCCTAGGCGATGTGAAATTGCCCCAACACAATACATTTTCGTATTTTGTTGTATTCAATGAATTTTTTAAATATCTTTGTATAAATTTTTTTACTTTTTAAGCATATTAAGATTAAGTGAATCTAAAAATATAAAATATAAAAATACGTCAAAAAATTGTTTTGAATCTGAAAACCAAACAGGGTAGTTTTTTTAGTATGACACCAAAAATTTATCCTTTTTTTTTTGGTATTGAAAGCAATAAGTTTATAGAATTTTTATACATAATTTATGATAAGAATAAGTTCACAGTAACATTATTAAAAGTATAAGTCATCTTCATATGTCTTTTTAAGAGGTAAAATAAAAAATTAGCATAACATTTTATATTAATTTTCTGTATAAATTTTTTATTTGTACAACACAACTTCTTTTGTACCATAAAATAATCCCAAAAGGGGCCGCATGTGTCCAATTAGCAGTGTTTTGGGGCTAACCAATTGTTTTATGGGCCTTCTAGAGCCCAAATAAGCCAATACATAGCTTTGATTACGGGTTGGCATTGTATTGTATTAGGTGCTGTTTGTGTGTTGTCATTTCAGGTTCATATCATAATTATTTTAATATTAATTTAACTCGTTTATTATTTCGTGTTATCATGTCGTGTTATTTTCAGTTCATGTTTTATTCGTGTCATGTTAATGTGCTTAACTAAAAATTCAAGTGTATAAAAAACAATTTACCCACAAAATAAATTTAATGAAGTTATTCTCTATTGAATAAAATTATTCATAGGAATATTTTATATGAATTCAATTTTATTTTCTTAATTTACATATATCCTATTATTATTCTTTTTACTAGATTAACTATATAATGGTAGACAAAATACATTATCTTGAATTAAAAAATATATATATATATATATATATTAGCTTTAAAATCTTACTTTATATACTTTTTAATAAGTTAGATGGAGTTATATAAGGGATTAAAATAGGGTTTGAATTTTTTTAAGTTGACTATCTCAATTTGAAGGAGCATTTGAGCTTAGTATGCCAATTTTGAGACTGATTTGTAATCTAAACTGTTCACTTTCTAGGACTCGTTAAGTAAAATATCCATACAAAAAATTACGATAATCGGATATCAATAGTTATATATTTGAATCAAATTTGTATTACAAAAAATGAATGGCTATTTTTGAAATTATATTTGTCGTCCATTTTTTTAAACAATATGATTGAAATATATAGCTACCGATATTCAATTAGCGTGAATTTTTGCATGAATATTTTGTTCTACAGGTCATAAAAAAATGAACGGTTCAGATCACCGAAATTGATCTTAAAATGGCCCCCACCAAGCCCAAATGTTTTCTCAAATTGAGATGATAACTTAACAAAAGCCAATTTCATTAAAAAACCGGCATGGCACCCTTTAATAAAATCACTAATTTATGGAAAAATATTGAATTTTTCATTTGTCCACCATTTCAAACATGTCCAATTCATCGATTTAATAAATATTTTTCAATTCCTAAATTTAAAAAAAAAAATACAAACAAAATAAATAAATAAATACTAAAAATTCAAGAATAATGAGTTACAGTTAAGATTATATATAATAAGAATTTATTAACTTAGGTTATAGGAATGATAATGCCTTGTTTGGGAATATACTATTTTAATAACTTTTTAACTTTTTACAAAAAAAAAAAGAAGATGTGCAGCGTGATATGACAACTTATAGTAACTTTTTGACTAAAATACTAGTCCCCAAATGAGGCCTAAGACTAATTAATTGAGGTTAATAATTTATTATACTTATTAACATCATTATATTATTAGATTATATATATATATATATATATGTTTAAGCGATCGGTTTCGATTTAATTCGGTACACAAGGTATTTGAACCGAAAACCGAAAAAAGTCAAATTAAAAAATTGCACAAACCAATTCTTGTTAAAAAAAAACATAACAAATATGGATAGTTCAGTCCAATTTAATTGATTTAGTCAATTTTTTTCAATTTTTCTTACATTCTACTCCCCTCGAATCTGAATAAATTGCATTTTTCCCTCTTGATGTTTGATTATTTTCTCATTTTAGTCTTAAATTCTTTTTTTGTCACTTTGACCCTTTATGTTTTAACATTTTTTTCCATTTTATTATAAAACTTAACTTAGGTTCAAAATTATGCACAAAATGACACATTGACAGTCACGTGACATAAATTATTTTGTTATATATAAGTTACACATTTAACAAAAATCTAAATTTTAATATAGTAATATATTTTTATGTCATGTGACAATTAACATGATATTTTTAGTTTAATTTTATATAGAAGTTAAATTTATGAGTTACTTAAAAATAATTAAAATACAAAGGACTAAAGTAAATAATAATAATTCAAAAAAGGGTAATTTTTATTTCCTTACACACTTAAAAATTTAAATTTTCATTTTATTTTTTTACAATTATTAAAATACCATCTCATCCCTTCCATTCACTCTCTACATCCAAAACCTTTCAAACCCCAGTTTCTTCACCTCCAACTGATTCAACCATTGTTGCCATCTATAATGGCTGTTGCAGCCTCACCACGCAAGCCCTTATCGCAGCTACCGCCACCCTGAAAGCTCTCACATTGATAGTCACGTGACATAAATTATTTTGTTATATATAAGTTACACATTTAACAAAAATCTAAATTTTAATATAGTAATATATTTTTATGTCATGTGACAATTAACATGATATTTTTAGTTTAATTTTATATAGAAGTTAAATTTATGAGTTACTTAAAAATAATTAAAATACAAAGGACTAAAGTAAATAATAATAATTCAAAAAAGGGTAATTTTTATTTCCTTACACACTTAAAAAATTAAATTTTCATTTTATTTTTTTACAATTTTTAAAATACCATCTCATCACTTTCATTCACTTCCTACATCCAAAACCTTTCAAACCCTAGTTTCTTCACCTCCAACTGATTCAACCATTGTTACCATCTATAATGGCTGTTGCAGCCTCATCACGCAAGCCCTTATCGCAGCTACTGCCACCCTGAAAGCTCTCACTGATGCCGAAACTATCACGAGCAACCACCTCCGCAGCCTCCCACAACCTTGCCTCCATCTTCTCCATCGCAACCCAGTTTCTCGCCCTCTTTCATGGCCGACAAAGCACAAAGAGAGAGAGAGAGAGTGTGTGTGTGTGTGTGTGTGTGTGAGTATGCATATGTGTATATATATCATGGGACCTCTCTATAGGTCAATTTTTGTAAAACTTTATTATTTAGAACAAACAAGAACATAACAGCAAAAGTTGTCTCAAATCCAATCCCAAACGACATTTCAACAATAATCTCTCCCCACATCGACTTGCTAAGAGAGACTTGAGGAACTTGATTGCCAATCGAACACGACAAAGAATGTTCACCACATAAACCTAGGTTCCCTTCAAAGCTCAAGTTTGGAAAGGTTTCAAACTGCCCTCCAGTAGGGATTGCCCCATTTAGTTGATTGTAAGTAACACTAAACTTGGACAGAAAGTTGAGATTTACCAACGAAAGAGGTATAGCTCCGGATAGATCATTATGGGACAAATCCAAAGTCTCTATGCTTGTCATACCAGACAAATTCTCAAGAATGTTTCCAGATAAATTGTTGCATTTTAGGTCCAAACAATGCAATTTTTTAAGGTTTCCAAACTCGGACCTGATGGGTCCGGTGAGAAAGTTATTGCTGAGGTCAAGTGTCGGTGCAAACCTCCAAATTTGATTATACTGCAACCCTGTAAGGCTAATGTTTTGTTTCACAAAACATGGGAATGGGAAACCTAGAGATAGGTCTTCCAGCAAGAGATCTCTGGAGATAAGACAATCTAATCCAGTCAAGTTCTTTGGTATCTCTCCAGTAAAAGAGTTGTTCGACAAGTCAATGTACAACAAAAACTCAAAATTACCCAACCATGGCGAAATTATTCCATCCAATGGAGATATGATAGATGGCTTTTGGGTTTGGGTTTGTACAAGAATAATGCTATATGTATCGATTAATGTATTAATTAGAGTTCTAATAGATGATGTGGCATAATTTTAACGGTTTTGGGTATTTGTAATTTGTATAATAGGTGGGGTCAGTAATAATGACTTAACACTAATTGGTACATTAGTGTGTACACTAATTGGTGCATGTAGCACCATTGTTTGTACAAACAATCAAAGGAGAAGCCATTGGTTGGTCATGCGGCATCGTTATGTGATGCCCGTGGTGGCCAATGATTGATAAAAAAAACATGGAATTTATAAATTTGTGTTGAGTAATTGAAGAATATAAAAAGATATGGTAAATTGTGATTAGTTTGGAATATGATTGCGTGGCGTTCCAAGATCAATTAATATTTTTTTCAAAGAGGAGAGAGTGAAACATGTAGGTCAAGGAAAAGACAATGGGTGCTTCGTTTGGAAAGTAGCTTGACTTTTTTGCTTTTTAGCTATTTTAGTATGGGATTAAAAAGTCTCGTCTAGGTTGGATTTTTTGATTTTTGGATTTTTTGTGAGAGAAAAAATGAAATGATTATGGTTTGAATGTAACATTTTGTCTTATTGATTTTTTAACCTATTTATTTTTTTTGTAATTATTTTAGCCAAAAAACGAACCCAACTAATATGCTAAACAAGGGCTTTGGCAGAGATTATTTGAAAAATCATCCCTCCCTCACCTTTTGAAAAATTAATTTTTTAAAATTTTTTAAAATTATTTTTATCTAATAAATTATAATCAAAAGTTACACTAAATAATTTGATACAAACTCTTAAATAAATTATAAGCTGTGTGTATAAGGAAAATTCTATTAGACACACCTTAAAAAAAATGTATATCATATTGTTGGCTTATTTTTCCTATGAAGAAAAATATCATAAATGCGAGCGTGCCAGTAAGGATTGAAAAATCCTTACAGATTAATTTCAAGCCAATTATCAAACAATTGCATTGACGGTTCTTTTGCCTCAATGAAGAGGACTTCAAAATTGCAAAGTGTAGAGAAAAGAAAAATTTTTAAAAAAAAAGAGGGAGACGGAGAAAAATGATTGAGTGAACAATCAAACTAACTATTAATTTATGTCTACTCCTATGCTTCGAAAAGAAAGTACATAAAATAAAGTACATAGAACTTACCTCTACTCCTATGTTTCGAAAATGAAGTGTATAAAATAAAGTGCAGAAAATATAAATGACAAGAAAAAAAAAATCAATTATCTTTGATTTGAATTTTGAATCCTTTACAATGTAGCAATGAAGGGCTATTTATAGGCAAATATTTGTAGGAAAAAAACTACCTAAAATTACCCACTCTTCCACCTCCTCCATTTCATACTCATTGATCTTCCATAACTTCCTTTAACTTCCACTTCATGCTCCATGTTCTCCACTTTGTTCTCTATCATCTTTTCACATTTCATAACTTTTCATAACCTCCAAATGAGTAGGAGGGTGCCACATGTCCTGCAATTATATAAATAATAAATAATAAAATTACAGATTTATGGTGCCAACACATATACACTTTTAATTATATCATTTTCTTTTTTAGTTATAGTTATTTTTTAATTATAATATTATTTTAATTATAATTCATAAATTTTTTAATAATTCCTTATATTATATTTAATTGTGATATTATTTTAATTATAATTTAAAAAATTTAAATTATATAAAAAAAATTTAAATTATAAAGTGCACATTCACCACATCTCACGTTAAGTGTGAAGAGAAATTAAATTATAGCAGCGTGAAGAGAAATTATAGCTGTGTGACATCTCACGTATTAATGTGTGAAGAGAAATTATTGGAGGCATATGCCTGACATCTCGCGTAATGTCAGTATATTCCACCACATCAACAACAATCACAAATGCAACTACACGCTAGTCTAACAGAAGTTTAAACATGGTAAGTTAGATGATCTCTAACCCTTCATCAAACCTAACATCAAATTTGAAATTTGGTGAAAAAAGTACTATTTCGAGCTCCAACGGTTTTACCAAATTGATATCAAATCGAGAATTCACCAAACGTTTCACCAAAAGGAGGACAGGCTCCGCATTTCACCAAAACACTGTGCATGACCGTTGGGAGAGACCAACCGGTTGACCAACCGATCGACCACCAAAAGGTTCAAACAGTTCCAAAAAAAGCTCAAACTGTTGGAAAAAAAAAATAATTTGGCTTAACCGGTCGACCAACCGGTTATCCCGGCACAGATTTGATGAAAATTTGATGAAAATCAACCGTTAGAGCACTCGGTATCAGATTGAGGAAAAAGTCATTTTTTTACTCAGATTTGATGAAAATTTTGGTTCAGGGTTGGAGATGCTCTTATAGACCTTTTGAGTGTATTTGATTTGATTTTAGAAGATGAATTTTTTTAAAAAATAATCCTGCTAGGTAGTTTGAATTTTCTATGGTTTGAACGGTCCGAAATTTCAAAACGATGTCGTTTTGGAATTTTTTTTTTTTCTTTTTTTGTCTCTTTTCTTCATCATTTTCCATAACTCAAAAGAAGAAGAAAGAAAAAAACAGAACAAGAAGAAAGAAGAGGAAAGGAGATCATCAACAAACACACACACACATCTGGAGATCATCAACACGACATCATCATCATTATCATCATCATCATCATCATTATCATCATCATCATCATCATCATCATTATCATCATCATCATCATCAACCAATAAATCATACAGAAGAAGAAGAAGAAACACACAAATCAAACCCCCTCCCCTCCATACACACATCTGGAAAATCAAACCCCCACACACACACATATAGATTTGGAAGTCAAATCCATGAAACACACACACACACACAGTGATGGTCGCAGCAGTGGTGGCGACAGTGGTGGTCGTCGCCACTCTCTCTTCCCCCTTCCTTCTCTCTTCTCTTTTCCTTCTCTCTCTCTCTCTCTCTTCCTTCCTCCCTCTATTTCTGTTTCAGATATAAAAGAGGGGGAAAAAAAAATCCGGAACGATGTCGTTTTGGATTCAGGCCACTCTAGCCACAAAGAATTCGAGTTCTGAAGCATTTTTCTAAAAAAAATTTGAAAAGAGAGTTTAGAATTTTTTTTTTGATTTATTTGGTTATATATTTTAGAAATAGTTTTATAGTATGAGAGTTTGGGATGAGTTAATATTTTGTTATAATCGAATAGATGTGCGTAGTGGGTTTGCAGGTTTTTTTGGCTATTTTAGCCACAAAAAATAAAATAGGTTATTTTAGCCATAACAAACAAAACATCACATCCAACCCATAATCATTACATTCTTCTCTCACAAAAAAACTCAAAAAAACCAAAAAGCCAAAAAGCTCTTTTCAAACCAAGCTTTTAAGCCCAGGCTAAAATAGCCAAAAAAGCCAAAAAGTCAAAAAGTCAACCCCCTTCCCAAACGGAGGCTTAAAATATGAAAAATTTTGAATTTTTTGATTTAATGGATTGATTTAAGGGCCATTTACCTACAAGTCTCATTTTGTAAACTTATAATCCATTAAGTCCTAGATAAAATTATTTGCTCCTTTAAGTCTCATTAATTTTTAATAGACCAATTTACCATTCCAACAAGCTCCAGGCAAGCTGTCTCTATGTAGTGCGTGTGTTTCACGCACAGTGTAAAAAAAAAAAAAAAATTAGAAATCCCGCTCAAGGTTTTTCCAGATCTACCAGCTGTAGAGCTCTCCTCCGCCGTCCCTCTACTCCACCGTCCGGCGTTGGCTATCTCCCTCTCCGTCTCCATCTTCTTCTTCCTCTCCGCCGTCCATCTTCTCCACCGTCCGACGTCTTCCGTCTTCTCCCTTTCCGATCTTCATCCTTACTGTGTTAGCCTCGGGACATGCTGCTAGTAACATGACTGGTTGGAAAAGTTGATGACACTGCTTGTTTTTTCCCTCCAGTTGTAGTGACAACTAGTTGTATATGTATATATAAATGATAAGTATTGGCAAAGCTTTTTGGTTCTGGGTTGAAGAACAATGACTCACTGGATATATAAATGATAATATTCTCGATTTTAATCATGAAAAAAATTGAGAAATTTCTCAAAATTGATAATTATAAATTTCTTAGTTTTGATAGTTTTGATAATATTCTTAGTTCACACTACAAAAAAAAAAAATTGAGAAATTTCTTAGTTTTGATAATTATAAATTGAGAACATTCTCAGTTTTGAAATTGAGAACATTCTCCGTTTTGCGATTAAAGGGTAAAACGTCTTGTTACCTATAAATGGGACTTATTGGTTCAAAAACTTTTTGACAGGACCTAAACTACCACCAAATATGTAGATAGGACTTTTAGGTAATTAATCCTTGATTTAATAATGACATCAAAGTTATCACTATTTTTGACTTTTGAAAAATAGAAAATAATTTAACGAAAATAAATATAAAAAAATTATTTCTACCGTCCCAAAATATAAAATTATATAAAAATGATATATTTTTAATTTTTTTTCACCATTTTAATTTTTTGATTCTTAGAAATTTTTTCTAAAATAGATTATGAAAATCAAACTAAACAGAATTTTATAACTAATAAAATACTAGTATTATTCATTAAAATAAAGTCATTATATTCTAAATAATATATAAATTAATTAATGTAAAACAAATTATATGATGATTTTATCATTAAAATAGACCCTTTATAAAAAAATATATATCAAAAATGTAAAAAAATCCTAATAAAGGAGCTTTAATAATTCTAATAAAATGTAAGTTCTACTATAACAATGATATTTGTGTCTTGTATTTTTTATTTTTTTTAAACTTTTCATATCATTAGAGAGTTGACTAGAGCTCGATGATTATCATTGTCGGGAAATATATTTGGGACTGCCTCGCCTCCATTTCTCTTTCATACTGCTCTCTCTGTGTTTTCCTTTACCTTCCTTCTTGCTTCTATCTTTCCTCTTTGATTGTTTCTAAAAGCCCAAAAAAAACCCATCTTTCTTATCTTTTCTTTGATCCTCGAGAACCAACAGAATGCTGAAACTAACCAAACCCGTATAACAATTCATCTTCTACCAAATGGGTTCTTCCAGAACCTGATTTTACCCCTTATTTATCTATCTGTCTCCTCTTTCTCTCTCTAGGAATTGTTTTTCAGAGATGGGTGTTGTGTTGGAGTTGTGGGTTATCTTCATTTTCCTTCTTGTGTTCTCTTCACAAGTTCAGGTTTCGAATTCCCAAAACCTGACTTGCAATTCGAACGATCTCAAGGCACTAGAGAGTTTCTTGGTTGGGTTAGATTCAGGGACTTTTAATGATTGGGGAAGCTCAAATTCAACTTCTACAAACTCTAATTGCTGTAATTGGTTAGGAATCACCTGCAATTCTTCTGCTTCTCTTGGTTTTCTCAACGATTCTATCGATTCTGGTAGGGTTGTGAAATTGGATCTCTCACGGAAGAGATTGACGGGCAAACTCAACGAAACTACTTTCACTGGTTTAGACCAACTCAGAACCCTAAACCTCTCAAACAATTTCCTCCGAGGCTCTCTTCCTCCATCTCTGTTTCAAATGCCGCATCTACAAGTCATCGACCTCAGCAAAAACGGTTTCTCTGGTTCAATTCCGATGAATTTCAACCTCCCTTTTCTCGAGATCTTCGACATTTCTTATAATTCATTCAAAAGCTCGGTTCCTGTGAAGATTTGTATAAATTCGACTCGAATTCGGGTCATTGATTTTGTTGTGAATTACTTCCTTGGTGGAATTCCATCTGGGTTTGGGAATTGCAGCTCCTTAGAACACCTCTGTCTCGGTGAAAATTTTCTCACCGGACATATACCGGAGGATATTTTCTTGCTACCGAGATTGAATCAGTTGGGTCTTCAGGATAATCAGTTTACGGGTCAGCTCAGCACTGGAATTGGTAATCTCTCTGATCTTGTTCGTTTGGATATATCATTGAATTCGTTTTCAGGGCCTATTCCTGATGTTTTTAATAGCTTTACAAAGTTACAAGAATTTTATGCTCAATCCAATAATTTTTCTGGTGGAATTCCCAATTCTCTGGCGAATTCTAGGACTATCACTTCACTTGTTTTGAGAAACAATTCTCTGAATGGTGTAATTGATCTGAATTGTTCCAAAATGATCAGTCTGATTTCGCTCGATTTAGCCACTAATCAGTTCATCGGGCCAGTTCCCAATAATCTCCCACTCTGTCCGCACCTGAAAACAATTAATCTTGCGCGAAACAACTTCACTGGCCAAATCCCAGAAAGCTTTAGGAATTTTCGTGGCCTGTCTTCATTTTCCATATCGAATTCGAGCATTTTTAACCTCTCAGCTGCCCTTGATATCTTGCAGCATTGCCAGAACTTGACTACTTTGGTTCTTACCTTGAACTTTCATGATGAACAATTGCTTTCCTATCCTAGACTAGGGTTTAAAAATCTGAAGGCTCTCATTATTGCCAATTGCAGACTCACTGGTGTGTTTCCCCAGTGGTTGAGTGGGTTAACAAATTTGCAGTTGTTGGATTTATCATGGAATCGATTGGATGGAACAATTCCGCCATGGTTGGGTAATTTTGAGTTTTTGTTTTACATTGACTTGTCGAGCAACTCTTTTACCGGAGAGATACCGAAGAACCTGACTGGATTAGGGAGCCTCATCTCCGGGGATGTCTCACTGGAAGACCCTTCTCTGGATTTCTCATTCCCATTTTTTGTGAAACGAAACATTAGCGGAAGAGGGTTGCAGTACAATCAAATTCGGAGCTTTCCACCAAAAATTGACCTCAGCAATAACTTTCTCACCGGACCCATCTGGCCCGAGTTTGGGAACCTGAAAGGGTTGCATTGGTTGGACTTGAAATGCAACAATTTATCTGGAAGTATTCCTGTGAATTTGTCGGGAATGACTAGCATAGAGACTTTGGATTTGTCCCATAATGGTCTCTCTGGAACTATACCTCTTTCATTGGTAAATCTTAGCTTTCTGTCGAAGTTCAATGTTGCTTACAATCAACTGTATGGGGCAATCCCTACTGGAGGGCAGTTTCCAACTTTTCCAAACTCAAGCTTTGAAGAGAACCTAGGTCTATGTGGTGAACTTTATTCCCCGTGTCCGATTAGCAATCAAGTTCCTCAAGTAGTGTCTCCTAGCAAGTCGATGTGGGGAGAGATTATTATCAAAATGTCGTTTGGGATTGGATTTTCGACTGGATTTGGGACAACTTTTGCTGTTATGTTCTTGTGTGTTCTAAACAAATTAACATTTTACAAAATTTGACCTACGAAGAGGTCCCATGATATATGTACATATGCATACATATAAAAGAAGGAATCATATTCTGGTGAACGAACAATTGATATGATGATTGAAATACTTGAACGGTTCAAGATCATGGTTAGAAAATGTGAATTATTTTTGTTTGTCCATGAGATAGGAAATATTTTGCGTGTGTATAATAATAGGGAGTACTCCAAAGAGCAATATCCAAACATAACTCACATGCGATTGGGATTACCTATTCAAAAAATTCGAGAGAGAGAGAGTGGTTTTAAGTTAAGACACAAGTTAAAAAAGTTATGGGACGATGAGATTTCGTTAGAAAAAAGCTATACACATCTATTCAAAAAATTTACTATACACACCTCATGAAATGGTATACTATATGCTTTAGTTAGATTATTTTTTTCTTTAGTTATGTTTAATTTTCTTTATTAATTATAATACTATTTTAGTCATGATTAATAAGTTTTTTTGTTATATCATGTAGTGTTTGATTATGATTTTTTTTTTTAAATTATGATTTAAAAAATATAAAGTTATATTATTTTTTTTAATTATAAGGTGCATATGGTACATATTTTTCGAGATGTGTGTACATAATCTTTTGGAAAAATTACACTTTGTTCCTCTAAAGTTTCATCTATTTCTCACTTTGGCCTTTTAAATTTGATTTTTTTCACTTTGGCTCTTCATGTTTGCAATCTTTCTCGCTTTACTCCTAGATTAACTTTTATTCAAAAAATTAACAGAATCTGTCACATCACCAACACATCAGTTCCACATGTGATGTAAAAAATTCACTAAAGATGCAAAAAATAAAAAATAGAAAACAAAAAAATTGATTTTTTTTTTCTTTTAGTCTTACATTATAGATTCATTTAACTTTGATGCACCTAAAAAAATAAAAACAAATATAACTAAGAAAAGAAAAAAGTTCATTAAAGATGAAAAAAAAAAAACGATAGTAAACTTTTTTATTTCGGAATTAACAATGTAGGTGTTTGATTCTGTATATTTTCATTTTTTTGTTGGTCTTTAGTAAACTTTTTTTCTTTTTTTAGTCTATTTTTTTATTTTGTTAGGTGCATTTAATCAAGACACATCTATAATGTAATAATATTTATGAATAAATTTGAAAAATAAAGTTCATTAAAGACTAAAAAAAATTTCAATTTTTTTGTTTTCTATTTTTCATTTTTTGCATCACACATGATGCATTGGTGATGTGACATTCTGTTAGTTTTTTTGAATAAAAGTTAGTTTATGAATAAAATGGGAAGGATTGCAAACACGAAGGGTTAAAGTAAGAAAAATCAAACTTAAATGACCAAATTGGAAAGGATTGCAATCATGAAGGACCAAAATGGAAAAAATCAAATTTAAAGGGCCAAAGTGTGAAATTGCAGAAACTTTAGGGGAGAAAAGTGTAATTTACCCTAATCTTTTTGGTACCTTTTTTTTTTTTTTTGAAGATGTTTGACATCATCAAATGGGTGAAAAAATAGGGAGACTGAACCATACTGTTAGACCTATGAGACTTAGTACGTGTCTTGTTTGATAATTCAAACCGTTCAATGTGTAAAGCTCGTCAAGTATTTTATGCTTACAAAAAATCATGTTGATCGGATACCGATAACTTCTTGATTGGAACACATTTTTGTTAACAATTTATTTTTTAAATCATATTTACCATTGATAAAAATATGTTTCGATCAAAGAGCTACCGATATTCGATCCACGTGATTTTTTGCAAATATAAAATACTCGACGAGTTCTACACATTGAACGATTCAGATCATTAAAACGGGACCGTGATAACTCCCACAAACCAAACAATATGCTTCAATTGTGTAGACTGGGAAAAAGTCTCTCCATAATTTCATTTTTTAAATAATCACTGTAAATTGTCAAAGCATTCTCCCTATTTTTCCATACCTTTTTACAAAATGTCAAAAAATTATTAAAAAATATCAATTCTCAAACAAGTTTTGAATTGTTCAATCAAGTGTATGTGTCGGTGTTAATAAATTGATTAGTGGCTGTTTGGGATAACAAAAATAAATCATTTTTTTTTCTTTTTGTGTGTGTTCAGTTATCCTTTTTTTTTTTAAAAAAAAAAAAAAAAATTATGTCAAAATTTTACACTTTTCTGATTTATCTTGTGTATATAAATTTAAAAAGTAATTATCTTTTTAAAAAAATTCAAAAAATCAAAATAAGCACACAAAAAAAAAAAGGTTTACTATTTTTTATTTACTTTTGTCTTTTTTGATTTGTTTAAGCATATTAGGCCGTGTTCGTGTCTTATCATTTCAGATTCATATCATAATTACTTTAATATTAATCCAACTTGTTTATTATTTTGTGTTATCAGATCGTATTATTTTCACTTCATGTTTTATTCATGTCGTATTAATATGCTTAACTAAAAATTTAAGTGTATGAAAAATATAAAAATTTTACTCATAAAATTAATTTAATGAAGTTATTCTCTACTAAATATAATTATTCATAAGAATATTTTACATCAATTCAATTTTATTTTCTTAATTTACAAAAATTATATCCTATTATTATTCTTCTTTTTACTAAATTAACTGTATAATGGTAGACAAAATACATTATCTTGAATTAAAAAAATATATATTAGTTTTAACATCTTACTTTATATAAGGGATTAAAAAAGAGTTTGGCTTGTTTCAATTGGCTATTTTAATTTGAGAGAGTGTTTGGGCTTGGTATGCCAATTTTGAGACTGATTTAAGTAATCCGAGCCGCCACTTTTTACGACTCATTAAGTAAAGTATCCAGACAAAAAATTAAGATGATCGAATATCGATAGTTGTATGTTTAAATCAAGTTTGTATTACAAAAAAATGAATAGTTATTTTTGAAATTATATTTGTCGTCTATTTTTTTAAAACAAATATGATTGAAATATATAGATAGCAATGTTCAATCATTGTGATTTTTTGCATTACTATTTTCTTCAATGAGTCATAAAAAGTAAACAGTTCGAATCACTAAAATCGATCTTTCAATAAGCCAAATCCATTAAACAATGCCATTGCATCCATCCTTTCATGAAAATTATATTAAAAAGTGTAACTAAATTTTTATTAAATGAGTTATTTGTATCAATTTCATATTGTGCAAGTTTGACACTAATTCAACTTGTTTAATTGAGTCATGTCGTGTGTATATATATATATATATTTATTTATGTGCAAAAATAGTCAATTTTAACATACTAATTTTGTATACAATTTGAGTCGTGTTCTCGTGTCAAAAATTCTGACCCTTAGCATTGATAAACTATAGGCCTGATGTTTTAGGCTCATCCCACAAAAGTATGTTGAATGCATTAGAGCTGAATCGAAATGAATGGATTTAGGCCTATTTTGAAAACTAGGAAAAAAGTTTAATTTTTTTTTTTTTTAAACGTGGATAAAAATATTGAGATGATATGATTTAAATAAGCCAATAAACTAACCTTTTTTCTTAATCGTCAAAATAAGCCTTAATTAATTATTTGGGCCTTTTAGACCCAATGGACTTGTTCCAATAGAAGGCAAGCTGTGGGTTGGATAATGCATTATCTATTGGCTTTGAGTTTAGTAATGATTTGGGCCTTTTAACCCCATTGAGCTTGTTTCAAAAGAAGGTAAGATTGGGTTGAATAATGCACAGTCTGGGCTTTATTTATTTTCGGGCTTTGAATTTTAGAAAACAGAGACAGTAAGAGGCCTTTTAACCTTATCTAAAAGGCCTATAAAAAAAAAAGATAAATTACACTGATACCACTTGAGATTTTTATTTAATATACATTTCTCTTTTATATTTGAAAAATTATACTTACCTCCTTATCAGATTAAAATGACATATGTGTTCCTAAGCCTTTATACATATAAAATAGGGGTTTTTTTTTAAAGTCCCTCGTATTAAGATTTTATAGCATAAAGGACATCTAATATTTTCATAATGTCTAAGGTCCTTCTAGTTGATCCAGAGAAAATTGGTCCAGAGAAAGTTACTCCATAAAAAATTCACATCACAGAGAAAATTGGTCCAGAGAAATTTTCCGGACAACGTAGCAACCCTTTCTTCAAGCAACCTGCTGGAAATCCAGAGAAAGTTGGAAAAGAAGAGGTTGCCAAATTTCTCTGGACAACATTGAGGACTAGTTCAATCAAAACCAGAGAATTTCTCTGGATCAACCCAGAGAAATTTTAGTTCAAACCATAGAATTTCTCTGGACCAATAGAGAAAAAATTCAGTTTAAACCCGAGAATTTCTCTGGACCAACCCAGAGAAATTCAGTTCAAACGAGAAAATTTCTCTTCACCAATCCAGAGAAATTTCAGTTTAAAGAAGAGAGAGAAGATCATTTCATTGAGTGAATAAGCAACAAAAAGCAACCTATATATATATATATATATTAAACAAATTTCTCTGAGTTTGTTTTTTTGAAATTTCACTAACTTGTCAAAATATTTCCATGGCATCATTCAAGACATCAAACCCTAACCCTACACTTGATGTTTTTTTTGAAATTTCACTAACTTGTCAAGATATTTCCATGGCATCATTCAAGACATCAAACCCTAACCCTACACTTGATGATCCTCTTTCATGATTTAACCCAGGCAACACTCCTGTGTATCTCTCATTTATTAAGCCAATCTTAATCCCAAAATGAGAATATACTTATGAACCTTCATTTTCATTCACCTCCAAAACCCTTAAACCCAATAACGAGAATGAGGAAAAGGAGCAAGGAAATAATCAAAACAAGGCTTCATTGCAATCAGTGGATGTCTTAGATTTTTCATTGAAATCAAATCTACCCTTTGATTTCAGGTACTCATACTCTGAGACTAACCCTTCGATTGAACCCATTGCGTACTGTGAACCACCGAGATTCTCTCCCTTTGGACCTGGACAGCTCGACCGGAAATGGACTGGCACTTATGCTCTGACTGAAGAAGCAGTTGATTTGCTATAGGTAGGAGAACAACGACGCGAGGTTCTTGGTGGACCACTCTCCGAAGAAGAAGTTGTTATGCTTGTGGAATGGTTTTGTCATAATGATT